CTCGGGCGGGTGACGGCTCGATCTCGACCGGGCCCTTCCCGGTTCCGTGGTTGTTTGGCCGGAGCTCTTTTGGGTGATTGCCTGGGCGCCGTTTTCGAAGGCAGGAGCGTGGTGAAGCTACCCGATCTTCTACGTTTTCTCCGAGGCCTGGAACCTACTACCTCCGGGCCTCCTGAGGGGGAAGAACCAACCGGTAGCGCTCGAAGAGGTGTGGGGAGGGAGGGAAGAGCCGGGGAGCGGGGTGGGAGCTCGGGCACAGTCCCCCCACATCGCCAAAATCAGGCTTTAGGGGGTGTGTGTGTGTCCCTGTCCTCCCAGCCCCGGGCCTGCTCCCCCTCCGAAGCGCGGTTGCCCTCAGTCCTGAGGTGAGGGGACACCTCCCCTGGGACACCCCTGGCTGTCCCCAGCCCGGCTGTGGTGTGGGGGGGTTCGGGTGTCCCCCCCAAGGGTGAGGGTGACCCCTCCTGGCTCCTCATGCCCAGGGATGAGGGGTTTGCTGGAGTGGAGCCCGGCTGTGGAGCTCCACTCCATATATCGCAGGGCAGGGGTGTCAGCTAGGAACAGACCTCCCAAAAATAGATAAGGAGCAGGGTAAGAGAAGTGTAAGAGCAGTGATTTGCTCTTAGAAAGCATAGGTGGGTTTGTGTTGGGGTTCTGAGTCCTGTAAACCCTTCAGTAGAATTTTAAAAGCATTTGACTTTGCTACGGTCTTGTCCAAAAATGTGACTCTGCTCTCTCTTTGCTTGTCAATATACGCTGTAAACTCCTTGAGATAGAGACTTGTAGAAAGAGGCTTGTCTCTCGGCACGTCTGCCTCTGGATTATCAAACACTTTCTTGTGGCTCTTAATACTCGTGAAATGCTTTTTGTCTCATTCTTGCTCTGGATGCCTCTCTCTTGCTCTGCACCTTCTTACTCTGACCATGGCTAGCAATGAACTCAAAGTGCTGGGGAACTCGTGGTAATGTTTTAACTCCAGTTATACAGCTAATTAAGCCTTGGAGAGCAGGGAAGTGCCGGCAGTGGAGAAGGTCAGGAGGAGAGTTTGTCTCTGGATGGTCACGTTGTGTTTTGACCTTGTGTTTCAGAGACGCTGTCGTACACGGATGACACGGCCATGAGCAGGTCGGTGGTGCAGTCCCTGCTGGCCAAGAGAGAGTTCGATGAAGTTGACATGGCCAAGAGGTAAGGACTGCAGCCAGCTCGGGGGGCAGGGGGCTGGCGTTTACTCATGATGGCAAAACTGTTAAAAGATTCAGCAATTGCTGTGATTTTCTGTGAAAGGGGACGGGGGCTAAAGCAAAGTCACTGTTCATTTGCAGAGGGAAAAAAAAGTAGAAAAGTGGTGACTAATCCTGTGATTTATTGTGTCCTGGAATGTGCAGCAGCGTTAGCTTTAGTGTGGGTTCAGCCTGCTTTGAATTGAAGCAGGGTGGGAGATGCTGTCTTGCAGCCCTGGTGTGCCTTCACCTTGGTGGAAGACAGGGCGCAGAAATTTCAGAAGCGTTTCCTTTCATGTTTATTTGTTGCTATTTATGTTTGTACTTCCCTTAATTTAGTTAGCGAATATTAGTGAGGTCAGCTTCAGTTTGTTTATGATCCATTTCCCTTTTGAATCCTCAGCCCTGGTAGCATTTGGTTCCACTTAAGGGAGAACATTTATTTGTTTAGAAAACTCTTCCATTGAACTTGAACAAAAGACTTTCTCTGTGGTTGTGACCCACGGAAATGTTTCCAGTTTGCTTCTATTTTGAGGCAAAGTTGAGAGGGAAACAAGTGGGTTGAGAAAGGTGATGTTTATACACCCTTTCCTCCTTTCGTACCAGTTTTTGGGAATCAGATTCTTTCCCTACAGAACTCAATCACTTGAACCCTGGCTGTCACCGCATTATCCATGTGGTATTAATTCACCTCCTCGAGTGGCTGTATAAAATACAGCCTCTTTGCAGCCTTCACCAAATATCCCATGTGGTTCTTCTCACCCGTGTAACCACCTCTCCCTTGCCCACGCCAGGTTTGCTGAGGAGTACAAGAAGGAGCCCAACAGGGGCTATGGGATGGCTGTCGTCAACGTCTTCAAGAAGCTCCTGAGCCCCAAGTGCAACGACGTGTTTGAACCAGCAAGAGCCCAGTTTAATGGGAAGGGCTCCTATGGCAACGGCGGTGCCATGAGGGTGGCAGGCATCCCCCTGGTGTATTCTGATGTCCAGGACGTTAAGAAGGTACCCTTCTGGGCTCCTTGGCCTGGGGAGCCACTCCTGTCAGGCCGGTCTCGCCGTCATCCCTCAGGCAGGTTTGCTAAGGATGTGTTTTCTCCATTGGCAGTTTGCAAGGCTGAGTGCTGAGTTAACCCACGCCAACTCCCGGGGAGCCACTCCTGTCAGGCCGGTCTCGTAGTCATCTCTCAGGTTTGCTAAGGATGTGTTTTCTTCATTGGCAGTTTGCAAAGCTGAGTGCTGAGTTAACCCACGCCAACTCCCTGGGCTACAACGGGGCCATCCTGCAGGCCCTGGCCGTGCATCTGGCCCTGCAGGGAGAGCTCAGCAAGGAGACCTTCCTGGAGCAGCTCATTAGCCACATGGAAGACGTGGAGGCAGATGATAAGTCTCTTACTGACGCCCGAGCGTAAGTAGCTGTGAGGAGCACTAACTGCTGTGTACAGTTGGTTCTGGCCCTTTGTGTTCTCTCTTCTTCATTGTGCTCTCGTTTCCAGGCTGGGATTTGAGGATTTACCGTTTTCAAGGCGTCTAAAGAAAATAAAGGAGTTTTTGGAGCTCAGCAGTGTTCCCAAAGCAGATGTATTGTTTGAATTAGGTAAGTACCTTTCTTACTTATGAGTATGAGGCAGGAGTTGGAAGCAGGACTAACAGCAAACCTGGCTGATGTGTCCTCCCTCCAATTGCCAGCTTGTCAGACACAGAATGTGCTGGAAAGGCTGTGCTCACCACTCAGGTCTTGATCCTCTGTATTGGTGGGAAAAAAATGTCATTCTAAGAAAAACTTATCAGGAGTAACATTTCTTAATATTCAAAGATCTCTTGTCTTAATGGCCCTTGGATTTTCCTGTTGGATGGGAACGGGTAGGTGTGTCCTGCCAGACTGGCCGGGTGTAGCTGGGGGTTGTTCTCCAGATGTGAGTCCTACTGGGGGACTACAGGGAGATTTCTAGGATGCAAACCTTTGCACCTTGTTGTGCTAAAACCAGTGACACTGGTGTTGAAAGTAACTGGCAATGGGAAGTGGTGGTTAGAAGGGCAAAGGTACTTCTGTGGGAAGCAAGAAACAAGTGTCCTGCAGCAATGAAGGTGACTGGTTTTGTTAACAGGGAACGGCATTGCCGCTCTGCGCTCTGTCCCTACTGCCATCTACTCCTTCCTGCGCTGTATGGACGCTGACCCAGATATCCCTGACCACTACAACAACCTGCAGAGGACCATCATCTACTGTATCTCTCTGGGCGGAGACACAGACACCATTGCTACCATGGCAGGAGCCATCGCAGGGGCTTATTACGGGGAGGAACAGATCCCCCCGAGCTGGGAGCAGAGCTGTGAAGCTTTTCAAGAGACGCAGAAGCTGGCAAATAGCTTGTATGAACTCTACAGCCAGCGGCTCTGAGCTCCCAGGGCAGCCTCCTTGCTGAAGGCAAAGCGGGTGGTCACCTCTGCTTTTCTGGTGAGAAACGTGGTGGTGGATCCGTGCCATCTGCAGACGCCAGCGAGCCCTGGCTTGAGAGAGACACCTCCTGCTGAGAGCCAAGAGCTGGAAGCACGGGCTGGTTTGGAAGAGGGGGGACATGGCCAGCAGTTGGGGTTCAGCTGGGAAGCGGCTGCATGTGGTGCCTTGGACAGTGGCTGTGTCTCCTCTGAAGTGTATAGAGCATCGAGTTTTTCATACGATTTCTGCTTCTTGCTTTGTCCCACCCCGATGCCATTGTGTGACTTTGTCATTGCAGTCACTCTGACTTTCTTGCTGTTTTCTTTCTGTGTGCCCTGGCCTTGTCTCAGTTGTTAGTGGCCTGTCCTGTGGTGGCTTCGGCAGGCTCCAGCGCCCCTCTGAATACACCAAGGACGCTTGGATGACCAGCTAAAAGGTGTAGGTGGGGGTTATCAGAGAGGCACATCCCTGGAGAGCCCGGGACGTCCTGCGTGGTGGCACGGGTCACCTCCTGTGCTGTGGAGTGAGGGTGCTGGAGCACAGACCCCCCAGGGAGATTCGCTTCCTTAAAGGCAGAGTGAAAAGTGGTGGAGATTGGAGAGGGGATTTCTTTGCGTGGCTACTGGCATTGTGAGAAACACCTTTGGTGCTCACAGACACAATCCCAGCTGGCTCGTTTACTGTTGGAAGAGGGTGTAGCCAATTACTGCCCCTTTGCTGTCCTGTGCTCTGCTGTCCACCTGCCACCACCCTCACCTGTGGCATTTTGTGTTGCTTTATGTGGCTCTCGCACTGCCCCTGCTCTGGCTGTCCCTGCTCTGGCTGCCCCTTTGCTCCTGATCCCTGTGGCCCGAGTTTTTGTTGCTGTCCTGTGTCTGCCCAGAGCACCCAGTGAGGCTGCGGTTTAAATCTGAGTGGAGGTAGTTGTGAAACCTCGTGTTACACAAGGCTGGAATTCCTGGTTCTGCTGCAGTCAGTGACAAAAATGAACTGGGCAGGAAGCAGGAGTTACTCCTCAGAGTTTTAAAACTTTGTACTTGGTACCCTGTGGCCTGAGGTTTTGTTGCTGTCCTGTGTCTGCCCAGAGCACCCAGTGAGGCTGCGGTTTAAATCTGAGTGGAGGTAGTTGTGAAACCTCGTGTTACACAAGGCTGGAATTCCTGGTTCTGCTGCAGTCAGTGACAAAAATGAACTGGGCAGGAAGCAGGAGTTACTCCTCAGAGTTTTAAAACTTTGTACTTGGTAAGAATCGTGTGAAAATAAAGGGAAAGAGAGGTTAATTGGGGGGAGAACATATCAGAGCTTAAAAGAATCTGTGCATTTGAAGCTGGTGCTGGTGGCCAAGAACGTTCTAGCAAAGCTGTGTTGTTCCAGACCTTCACCTTCAAAACCTTTGCCCGGTGGAGCCGGTCAGAAAGGGAGTGCCAGCTTTGGGTACGGCAGAACATAGCAGAGCTTAAAAGAATTTGTGGATTTGAAGCTGGTGCCAGTGGCCAGTTCCAGAGTTTCACCTTCAAAACCTTTGCCCGGTGGAGCCGGTCAGAAAGGGAGTGCCAGCTTTGGGTACGGCACATCTAAAAAGGGTTAAAAGCTTTTTAATAACTGAAAACAAAAAGAGGCAAGCAGTCGTCATATGGAAATGCTTATAAATGTGAATGTGACAATGTAATTCTCTATAATCTGTTTCTGGTGACACCGGGTGGTGACGGTTCTGCTCAGAGCTCGCTCCCCGCCGGCGGCACGTGGGGGTTTGTGGGGGGCACTCGGGGAGAGCTGGCACAATGGGCCCTTCCAGTTCCACCTTCCCTCGAATGCCCGTCTCCCATGTGATGCTTTAAGGGGTTCTCTTTGTATAAATGAGTATCTCGTCCTGAGAACATGTGGAATTTTGGTCTATTGTATATTTATATATTGTGCTGCAGATCTGAGATGTAAAATGTCGAGTTTTTCACATTATTCTGCCAGAAGTGTGAACATATTCACGGAATAATTATTTAAAAGATGCTTTCTTTTTAAAGCAGCTTTAGAATTTTAAATGTTTGGAACTCATGAAGAGCAGAAGTGCTCCTGTTTACAAAATAGAGCTCATTTTCAGCCAAAATTTAAATGTATACTAAAACATTTAGCTCTGACTTCCTCGGAAAGAAATAAAATCACTTAGTTATCTTTGTTAATGAAGCCCTGCTCCTTGTCTCTTCATTCAAGTCGTGAAGTTGGGCGTGAAGTACTCAATGACAAGTTTCTCCCAATCCCAGACTTCAATTTAAGACTCAACCTGAAACTGCCTTGTTACAGCCTCTTGAAATCTTGCTGTAGGAAGCAGAATGGAAGTTGTTTGGTGCTGGTTAGAGACATCTGCATGTTGCCGAGACTCGTGCTTCACTTGGGGTGAGTTTTAACCACTGGAAATTGCTGTAAAAAGGATTTTCAGGCGGGCACTCTTGGCTCGGAGCCGGACGGGGCAGCTGGAGTTTGGGAAAGCCCTGGAGCTGTGGTCCATGAGAGCGGGAAGCGTCGATGGTGCGTGTCAGGGAGCTGGGCTGGTGGTTTGCAGTGAGGAGCAGCACCTGGAAGGAGTTTGGCTGCTGGGGTCCAGCGTGTGATGGTGGTGCAGAGACCGGGGAGCGCAGTGTCCCCGTGGCAGGAGCATCCCTTTTCTTCATTGTCGGCTTCTGCAGGAATCTGCCAGGCTCCTCTGGAGGTTTTCCACCTGCAGCATGTAACGGCTCCTCTGCCTGGGAACATCAGGTGGGAAAACATATTTATCTCTCTCTATTCTTTTTACTTTTAGTCTCTGGAAGTGATTTGCTTCCAGGTGATTGGCCGTTTCTCCCGTGTGCTGCTGAACCGGCAGCTTTTCCCGCCCAGGATGCGGAGGGTGGCTCCAGACAAGGCAAAACGTGGCAAAAAGCCTCTAATGGAAAACCCAGAGAAGGGAGAGGGAATCCCCAACACCTTGACTTAAATTCCTCAGATTAATAACTGCCACTCTGGAAGGGTCTGGATTTCATCGTTTTGTAAAAATGAACTTCTGGAGATGGGAATCTTCTCCTTAATCACAAGAACCTTCTTACATAAGAGCAGTAATTGGCAAGGAGATCTGCCGGGAAGGAGCGAGCTGGATTTGGGAAGGAAATAGTGCAAGAGGTCTCGGAATGCTCTCAGGAGCCCCTTGATGAGAGGACAAAGGCACAGCTGAGCCCACCTTTTATACAATAAGTTTTATTGATGTTTTGTCAATACAATCAAGTACTGCAGTTTTAGTTCTGAAGAGAAGGCCAGTTTCTGATCACAAAAAGAGTGCATTTTAGACCAACTTTTACTATGACAGACAGTGCATGTAATAAAGTATTTACAAAACTAAAAACCTCTATATACTAGGTTAGAAATGAAGATACTAGAGGCAAATTTAAAAAAAATAGTAAGAATTTGTATATAAAAATGCACATTGTAATGCAGTTTTCATAATTAAAAATAGACGTACTTCATCCAACCCAACCTTCTTTGCTGTTGCGATAGAAACCCAAACCCCGTGCGCTCGCACACACGACAGAAAATGACCCTTTTCTGCTGGCGAATACCACGTACTCAGTTACTCCAGAAGAAAAAACTCTTCCTGACAGTGTCTGCTTTAGTGAACAGCCTCCCTCGTCCTGTGCATCGTTGGTTGTTTTGTTGTTGTTTTTTTTTCTAGCCTAACTCTATGTGCGTGTAATATCTCTGCCTTTCAGTTCCTGTGTAGGTGTAAGAGGTTACACAGCTGCGGAAGGGTGATTGCGGTTTATGCTCTGCACGTGAAGGGAAAGTGAAATTGCCAAAGAATATCTACAGCACTGAAGGAGTTAATGTCTCGGGGTGGTTATAGTGAGGATTTCTGTCATCGCTTTTTTGCCAGCTAGAACAAGAAGTTTTGAATAAAACGGGACAAAAAAGAGGTGGGATGTAGGTTAGGACACGGTATAAATAAGTTGCTTTGCTGAGTAACGGGATGAAGCTTCCACCCCGGTGTGGGGCTGGGGCTGGGGAAGCTCCTGGCCCTGCTGCAGGTGGGGTGGATGTGGTGCTGCCAGCCCTGCCACCGCAGGAACGGGCCCCGGGGCCATGGAGGGAACCGGACCCCGCTGCCCCCGGGGCCTGGCGTGGCACCAGCTCCAGCCTGTGGCTGTTCTCCACGGGGGAAGCTGCTCCAGGGAAGGAGACGCAGGCCCCGTCCTCACACCCTCCTCCCAAACCCAGGCTTGAAGAAAACATCTCACCTTCCACTTGGAATTTCAGGGACTCTCTGTGTGGCTCCTGCTCCTGCTGGGAAATAACCCAGTATGGTCAAAGCACGAACAGTCCCCACACCCCCCTGCCTCCAGGAGTTAAAAACATCCACTGGGGCAGCCTTTCTGCTTGAGAAACTTTCATCTTTATATGAAACTTGCAGCTCTATGTGGAGAAAATCCCCGGCAGGGGGGACAAACCAGCCCAGCCCCAGCCGGGCAGGACCTGAAGCACTGACCCTTCCACTCATAACTTTCCTTTTTGGGTTTCTTCCTTTCAGGGATAGGTGTGTTTTTAAGAGGAAGCCCTGGATGGCGAGAGGCAGAAAGAGAGGACAGGCTTCAGGAGAAAAAACAAACAAACGAAACAAGACAGAAAGAGAAAAAGAAAAGTTGCTTAAATATCTTGTACAGTCCGACTGGAGCACAATCCCGAGTCCCATCCTTGCTACATTTCTGTGGCCATAGAACAGGCTTCAGAAAAAGTGGAGGGTAAGAGTTGCTCAGCTGGTGACCGAATCGTTGCTGTTGTCTGAGGGCTGTGCTGCTGCAGAGGGGACACGTGGGGTGACGCTGGGGGACGAGCTCCAGCAGCTCGTGGTGCTGGGGGGGAGGGATGGTGGGACTCGGCGTGCGAGTGGCGACGACTGTTCTACCACGAAAAAATCTGCAAAGCAACAGGGCCCAGTGGCTCCCGCTGGCAATGGAGAGAGCAGCCCAGTAGAGTCTCTCTCACACCCTTCCCAGAACCTTGTAGCTCCTACTCAGCTCGACATTTCAAGCATTAGTGAGACAAAGTGGTAACAACAGACAAATGTGACTCTTTTTTTTTTTCTTTTTTTTTTTCTTTTTTTTTTAACCTAAGTCACAGAGTGGCACCTGGAATATGGCGCACTTTTACAGGTACATATTGCACTAGACTTGTAAATAACATTGTTAAGTAGATAATAGCACCATTGTAAAATGACCGAATAGAAAGTTAGAACGAACACTATTTTTTTTTTTTTTTCTTAATTAAAAGGTCCCCAGAGAAAGGGGGGACGCCGACGCAAAAGTTTACACATCCCGAAATAGTGAGACAGTAAAAGCAAGTTGTCCGTTAAGTGGCACTTCCAAGAAAGCATAACTACCCCTTCTCTTGCACCAGGCTAGAAGCACCCTACGCCGGGCCCGCGGGGCCAGCTGGGTGTTGGCCAACGAAGAAGATGCTGACGAGGCCCGGCGTGTCTCCGGGCTGCGAAGAAACAGAGAGGACAGAGCTCGCCCTTGGACTTGGCAGCAGCTGAGTTAACCCGAGAGAGGATCGTTGTTCGTCGCAGGGGTCCCGGCTTCCCTCGGCGGCTTTGGAACAGGTCGTCTGTCATCCTCCCAGGTACCAACGCCTGGATGGTTTTATTCCTAAAGGTGCTGGGGGGGGAGGGTTAAAAATAATATTTACTTCTTATAAGAAGGTGCTTATGCAAAGTGTGTCCACTTTTTATGATTATAAATCCATCCACACTGAATCCGGAGTGAATCGGAGAGACTGCCTCGAAGCGCAGTCTGAAAGAACAGGCATCAGTGAGACTGGAACTTGGGAATCTGATGGTTTGGGAAGGAAATTTCTCAATCCATCAGGGATCTCTGCTGCTGTAGAGGTTCGTGGTAGGTGCCTGGGACCCCTGTGCTAGTTAGCAAATAACACCATCCGTTACAACAGCTGTGTTTATTTAACTCATACTGAAAAAGGGAAACAAGGGCACTTGATTATGGACTGGAAGGGTCTGGTCTTCCAGGTGACCCTCCCTGGACCACAGAGCAGTTTACTGCGGAGCCAGATCCTTGCCATCCCAAGCGTGTTCCTGTGTTTGATGTACAGTCACCAGGGTAAAATTTAATTCCAAATTTGCTTTGATGAGGGGATCACTCCCCTCCTGCCTTCTCCCTCCCAAAAAAAAGAAAAAAGAAAGATAGATAGATGTCTCCTTTCCGATTACCCTCTTGACTCATGGATCAAACAGCGTGAAGCAAGGTCCCATAACAACGGCTTGCGCGTTCTTCCCAGTGATTTTTCTTTTTTGTATTAATTTTAAAAAACTTTTTTATCAAAAAAACAAAAACAAAAACAAAACGACAGTTTATGGCTAAAGTGGATGAAAAGGAAATGTGCCCAACAGCCGTTATGTGGGGCAGAGCAGGAACCCGGAGAAGGAGGAGTGGATGTATTCCGTGGAGTACAACCCGTTGGCCTGGTCCGAGGGCATTTGTACCCAGACTTGGTCGTTCTCCTTGAGTTCAAGCACGGCACTGCCCGAGGCCTGGTCCAGGTACCCCTTTTTGTACTCGTCGTAGGTGTAGGTGGCGGGCACGTTGTTCTTATAAAGCGCCACCCAAACGTTAGTCCCTTTGACGTGCACATGGTAGGCAAAGTAGTAGATGCCGGATATGGGGCAGGTGAATATCCCGGTGACTGGGTTGTAGCCGTTGTGCCCGTTATACAAAGTCCGGTCGAACTTGACCGGCATTCCCGAGGCCGGGAAGGGGGAGGTGAGGATGGCGGTGAAGGCTGGCGCGATGCGGGCGGAGAGCTCTCCTCGCCCGTACTGCGGCTTCCCCGGCTTGCCGTTGCCCAGCACGGCCCCCTCCACGCCGCCGTCCGGCAGGTGCAGCCCCGCGATGCCCGTCTCGTCGAACACCCCGGGCGCTCCCGGTGGCCCAGGTGGCCCCGGTGGGCCCGGTGGCCCGTTCATCCCTGGTGTTCCCGGCATTCCTGGGGGGCCGATGGGTCCAGCCATGCCGGGCTCACCCGTCTTCCCCTCACCGGGAACCCCAGGGAGCCCGGGTTCTCCTTTCAGCCCCGGTAACCCCTGAGGCCCCATGGGACCAGCAGGTCCTTGCAAGCCCGGGATGCCGGAGGGGCCCCTCAGCCCTGGCTGCCCCGGGATTCCCCCGTCCCCTTTTGGCCCAGGGCCACCCGTTAATCCCGGCACCCCCGGGAGGCCAATGAACCCCGGTTCTCCTTTGGGGCCCGTTGGGCCAGGGGGTCCCTGTGACCCTGGCAGGCCCCTTTCTCCCGGCACCCCTGGCTTCCCCGCGAAGCCGTTCAGGCCCTGGTCGCCGCGCATCCCCGGCATTCCTGGGGGCCCGCTCGGCCCCACATCCCCTTTGGAGCCGGGCAGCCCGTGTTTGCCCGGCAGCCCCATGGACCCTGGCGGGCCTGGTGGCCCAATGATGCCGGCAGGGCCGGGCTCACCTGGCTCCCCATCAACACCAGGTTCCCCCTTATCACCGATGGCTCCTGGCACCCCAGGCTGCCCACGGTCTCCTTTTAGGCCGGGCAACCCCGGCTTCCCGTAGCCCGTTGGGCCGGGCAAACCAGGGAGGCCACGGATGCCGGGCTCTCCCTTCGGTCCCATGGGGCCCTGTATCCCCGGCACCCCCGCGACGCCCGGGACGCCGATCCCGTCGATGCCAGGGGGTCCCCGTGGCCCCACGGGGCCAGGCTCCCCATTGACGCCAGGCCCACCTGGGGGGCCCATGTCGCCCTTCTCCCCCGGCGCGCCCGGCAGGCCGTCAAGGCCGGGTTTTCCTACGCCGACGGGACCTGGGGGCCCTGCGGGACCGGGAGGACCCCCATTGCCCCGGGGCCCTGGTAGCCCTGGCTTCCCCACACCATTTTCACCCTTCATCCCTCTCTCTCCACGGGGACCCGGCTCTCCTTTAGGGCCAGGCTCACCCCGAAACCCGGGCAGACCGGGGCCGCCCTGGGGGCCTGGCTTCCCATTGACTGAGATGCCGGCCGGCCCTGGCAGCCCCGGGGGGCCGGGCAGTCCTCTTGGCCCTTGCTCTCCTCGCATGCCGGGCTCACCCTTGGCTCCGGGCATCCCTTTCATGCCCGCCTTTCCGGGGAGTCCTGGGATGCCGGGTTTCCCAATGCCTGAGAAGCCGGGGGGCCCGGCAGGACCGGGCTGGCCGTGCATCCCCGGCTTCCCCGTGCCCGGCTTTCCTGGGTAGCCAGGGGGCCCGGGGGGTCCACGTGGGCCAGGCTTCCCTGGGGGTCCTGGCTCCCCTTTGAGGTCCATGGGCAGCAGCGGCGGCATGTCTGTGGAGAGAGGAGACAGGGAGCTTTACTGGGGCCGGCGGTGCCTGGCGCATGATGCTCTCAGGGTGCTAAACCCCTGCCTGGGTCTGTACTTGCAAGAGTGCCCTCATCTAAAAATGGTTTTATTTAAACTTGGCCACAGTGGCTTCCTGGGCCAGCACATCAGCAGGACTGTCTTGAGGCAAGACCTTGGCCAGAGCCCAGGGCACTAATTCAAGCCTTATTCTGTCCGTCCCTCCACAGAGGGTGTCAACAAGCCCAGGGACTGCCGTGGGCTCTGGCAGTGCTGTTCTGGGATGACCTACTGCAGGATTATTTTAGGAGCTGGATTCAAACCTCCCGCTGCCTCACTTCCCAGCGGCCTCCAAAGCACCGTGGGATTCAGTGGCTCCTGCCTGGGCTCAGCCCCGAGGATGGGGACAGAGCCAGCCAAGACTGAGGATAATCCCTCCGCCCTGTCCCTTGAGTCCAGGGCCTCGGGAGACCTTTAAGCCTTTTGGATTAAAAAGAAAACTCTTGGACGTGTACTCGAGAGACCAAAGAGGTGGTTCGTGTATGGGTTAAGACATGCCCGCGGTGCTCACTGGCTCAGCTCCCGTGTCCAGCAAGGCAGAGAAAAACCCACCAATAATAATAATAATCATAATAATAATAAAAGGCGCTGAGGCTGGAGGAAAAGCCAATAGCTGCGAGGGAAACGCAACCTCAGTTACATCCAAATGAGTCAGCCCAGCTGGGGATAGGCCGTAACCACTTGACATTTAAAGAATTTATAGAGGTCTTTTGCAAACGGATATAAGAAAGAAACTAATGGGCTGAGAGACTACAAAGCTGAGGAGAGCCAGATTACATGCCCACCGCAGCTCAGTACTTAGAGCGCAGACGTGAGCATAAATAACTCCGTGAGGCCGGCCCAGGCAGGGTGTCGCTTCCCACGTGACACCAGGAATGGGTGAGAAAGAATAAATCTGACAAACTCTTTTTTTTTGGGAAGCTTGAAACGAAGGGAATACATGGCAGTTGCACGTACGTGGGGCTATGCTGAGAAATGCGAAGGGCAGAGGAAAAGGCCTTGAGACCTTGGACAAATTCTAACCAAATCTGCCCCAAAGTTGAACGTTCCAATCAGGAACAGATCTGTACGGGCAAGTTCCTGGGATGGGAATGGATCCTGTCTGGGATGGGAGCAGAATGGCCCGTTGCACGAGGCTGTGAGCCCCACATGGCACTGAGGAGGAGGAGGCAGGGGGTCCCGGGGGGCTGCCAGCCCGGCCCCCGCTGAGCCGGGCCCCGGGAGCAGGGACACCCGCAGCGCCAGGATCCGCCAACACAGAGATTTTCTCGGTCAATGGGAAAAGATTAGGGGAGATTTGAGACACGTGAAAAGAATAACTGTGGCGGCAGCCGGCACCGCTCCGGTGCATCGGGGCAGCTCTACCCTTCGTAAGCGCAGCAATTAGCTCCGGCCGCGGCCAGGCCTGGTGCCTGCTTGTTTTTCTTTTGGTAATGGAAACATTTTCAGAGCTTATCTACATATCAGCGCCTGGCCCACGGCCTAGGCTGTAAGAGAGGTCACTCGGCTGTGGAAATTAAGGAAATACTTGTCTGCCGTGACATCGCCACTGGATTTCTCCTGCTCCTCACCCCAGAAAACGGTGTGGGAAAGAAGGCAAGGGAGATGGGAAGTGTTGTGCTGAAGCAGATTTCTGGGGTTTGAATTCTGGAAAAATTTTTCTCCAGAAAATCATTTCAATGTGTTTTCTCCCCCCTCCCCCTTTGTTGTTTTTTTGGTTGTTTGTTTTTTTTTTTTTTCCTTCATGCAATAGTTTTAAAAGAATGAGTTTTCTAGGTCATTTTGTATGGAATCAGAACAAGGATCTACAGCTGAGCCCACGAAGGAAGGGAAAAGCACACGAACACTCTCTCACACAAGGCAGCGAAGAGAAACGCCAGGCGGGAGCTGCCAACTCGCAGGCGGCCAAAAAAGCAGACGGGAAAACCAAACCGGGGACGTTAGCGGAGAGAAACTGGGACATTGCAGCCCCAGCGGTGTCCGATTTCAAAAGACCATGTCTTACCACAGACGCATGTCTCGGAGCTCTGCATTTCACAGCAGCAGCATGGGGTTATGTGTTCCCCTCGAAGCATGAACAAAGCTGCCATGAATGCTAATGCACAGAGCCAGCTGGGGCAGCGGGAAGGGGAAGGAGCAGGCATGGCCCCTGCCAGCTCTGGCCTGGGCACCGCAGAGCCTTCCACCTCCTCAGGGGCATGGACACGTCTGGGTGGATCCCACAGCCCCTCTGGAGCTACGTCGTCCCAATAAGGACCCCCACAGGCCTGGAGCAGGGACTGGGCAGCACGGACTGGCCGGCAGAGGAATAACCCAGCGTGATGGGAAGCGGTTCCCAGGCAGGAGCAGTCAGCAGTGGGTCTGGCCAGCGCGGCCGGATGACGGCGCAGGAAGGAGAGGTTGGCTGCTCCAGGAAGGAGAGGTTGGCTGCTCCGTGGCAGAGCCCGGCCGAGCTCCTTCCAGCGCTGCTGCCAAGCCCTGTCTCGTGAGAGCCAGCTTCACAGCCTCACGGGGACGTTGTGTGGGACCAGCATCTCTCATCCCACCTGAGCCGCGCGGGGATGCTCAGCACAGGGCCCAGCCACAGCCCTCCCAGAGCAAGGGGACAGAGGGAAGCATGGATGGGGCAGACATTTCCCTGTTAGCAGGAGCTCAGGGACCTGGAGGCCTCTTGGCCACACGCAGCCAGCAGGGAGGACAGGACTCTGTCTCTTCAAAAGCAGCAGGACCCGTGGGCCACCTGCTCTGGGGCCACTGGCCAGCGCAGCCCTGAAGGCAGAGGCTGGGTCTGGGCTCCCCACTGAGCCTGCCCAAGCCTGGGGAGGTGAAAAGTGCTCCTCTACCTTTGCAGCTGAGGCTGCTTGTCCTGGGGTGAGCCCTGTCGTTGTGGGGGGAGCTCCATCACTTGCCTGGCACAAACCCCCACCCTGGCCATCGCCTGTGCCCTACCGGTGCCACCCTGGGATGCTGCTGGCTTGGGAAAATGCTTCCCAATCCCCGCCAGCACCCAGCAGTGGTTTTACCTGGCTGCAAGCTGCACCCACATGGTTTTAACCAAGCCAAAATAACCCCAAAAATATCTGCCTCAATGCTTTTCGTGTTTTAGCCTTTAACAGCATTTCCTGTCAGAGCTGCCTCCGTGCTCCTGGGGAGTCTGGTTTTGGGATAGAAAAGGTGTCTGGCACCCTGAGGAAACCAGCCCTGGCTCTCACTAGATGGCACCCCCAGCCTGGCGGGAGCCCCCGCAGCCCCGGGCCCATCCTGGCCCCCCAAGTGGGGGTCCCAGCCCCGGGGCCAGGCTGGGGCAGCCCAGGGGGGGCCCCGCACAGCTCCCCACCAGCCCGGGGTAACCGGCAGGGGCACGGCACGGCCCTGCGCCGTCGCGGCGAGTCAGCTGAGCTCCCCAAGCAGGGCAGGAGGCCAGCAGGGATTTTCCTTGCCAAACGCGAGGTTAAGCAGAGATGGGAGCTTGGGGGGATCCAGGAGGCACTGGCTTCCCCAGCAGCCTCCTGCGGCCCCCCCAGCCAGTGGCTCAGGCTGCAGCTGCCCCCCTGCCCATCCTGTCCAGCCCAGGGGTTTTAGGAGGGTGACGTCCAGGGGACTCCCGTGCTCTGCACCTTGCCAGGAGCCCTGCACTGCTCTCTCCATCACACTTAGCAGGCAGCACTGCTCACAGGCAGCACAAGCCGCTCCGATGCATAGGAAGAAGAGGGGAAAAAAGAAGGAAAACCAGCAGGGAGATATTTGAATCCTGTCCCACCAGCAGCTGAAACGTTCCTGCGCTACGCTGGAAGGTTTTGTCTCTGGCTGGGATTCAGAGACCAGCTTTACAACAGCTGGGAAGGGGGCAGGGATGGGGGGGCTCGGAGCACGCTGCGGCTCCAGGTTTCGCTGTGTGTTTTCTGACATATGTGCTGAGCTGAACTCCTGATAAGCCATTCAGCCCAGCAGTAAATCAGCCACCGGCAGCCAAGCCTTCTCCAGTTTCTCCTCCCAGAGCCAAGATTTCAGCTCCCCGGAGGGTCCGGGTCTGTGTGAGCCCACGGGGAGGGCTCCGGTGGCTTTTCCCACTTCCCAAGGGCCAAACCCTGACCCAGCAGGTCTGGGCACCTGAGCCCCAGTGCTGCCCCGTCCCACAGAGCTGCCAGCTCTCTGGGAAGAGCCTTGGGGACTGCTGTGTTTGGTATCAAGGGCTCAGAGCCCCCCCTCCATCCCCCTTTTGAGTTGAAGATGCTGCTGCCCCGGGTGCAGCGGGGGCTGTGTGTGCCTCAGGGAGGTGTTGGGGGTCTCACTGGGCAGAGGGACCCCTGATGAGTCAGGAAGTGCCAGAGAAACTCAGTCACACTCAACACTTGCTGTTTGCAAAGACCCCAAGCTCCCCAGCTGTCACCCAGGGCCTGTGCAATTAACCCACGCTAATAACCTCCTGGTGTGGGGCACTGATGGACCCTCCTGTGCCTTCCAACCTCCAGCACCTGGGGCTGGGCTTAAAAGGAGGTCTGGGCAGAGACGTGGGGCTACAGCAGGGGCAGGGGATGGTGTGCAGGCAGGACACAGTGTGCAGGCAGGGCAGCTCAGAACAGGCAGTTTCAAAAGGCTGGGGCTGGGCTGGACGTGGAGCAGGAGCCATGGCCTCAGCACCTCTGCCCCCCCCCTGTGCAGCACATGTCACTCGGTGGGGAGAGATTTAACACGTGTGGAGTCTCTGGTGGCTGCTCTCTGAGGGAGGAAAGGTCTCTCTCCTGCTCTCCCCTCACTAGGCTGGGTCTTGGCTCCAGCCTTGGCCCTCTTCCCTTTCCCAGCTGGTGCAAAAGGCAGGCAGGGAAAAGGGAATAGGTGGAGGAGTGGAAAAACCCTTGCTGGGAGGGCTCTGGTTTAACAGCAGTGTGAGGGAGAGATGGAAAAGGCCAGGGCTCCTGCACCTGCGCTGAGCCTCAAAGGTACCAGCAAACGTGCAGGAGGACAGGAGAAAAGGCTCAGGGGTTCCTTTTGTGCCCCAGCTCCCACAGCGGGGACCCAAGGGTGCCCACCCAGCCCGAGCAAAGGGATCCGCTTCTCACCTCGGCCTCTTGGTGCCCACTGTTGACCTTCTGCACTGGGTTAAGGAGAACTGAACAGCCCCTCCGTGCTTGGCTAAAGATGCTTTGGACAACAGCACCCTCGGCCACGCCAGGCTGCTCCGGGGGGCACCGACCCCGAGGGGAAGGGGATGACGAGTGCCCCGTGGCTGCGGGAGGCCATGACCCATTCCCACCACCCCAGCAGGTCTCCCAGGTCCTGTCTCATCCCACCCCCCCCTGCAGAGCACGTCCCTTACCCAGGTACTGCCCTTTGCCTTCGCGGAAGGGGGGTCCCAGGGGTCCCTTCACCATGGGCTGCATGTACTTGACCTGGGCGTAGCCGCCCGCGCCGCCTCCCGCCGCCGAGCGAAGGCCGAGCACCATCACCATCACCGCCAGCAGCGCCACGGCGTCCGGCAGCATCCTGCTCCCCTCTGCTCCTGCGGAGAAAGAGAGAGTGAGGGGGGGCACCCACCACCCCTGTCCACACCCTCCCTCCCGTGAGGATCAGCCGGGGACCCGGGAAGGGAACGGGACTCCCCGGATTTGCCTTCTTCTGGACCACAGATGCCCTGAAGACACTGCCCTTCCCGCCACGCGCCGGCTGGGAGATGCACAATAAATACACGGCTTATGAGCAATAACTCATCTCAGACACCCGGCAGAGCCTCTCGGAGCCTTCCCAGAACCTCTTTGTCTGGGGCTATGTCCGTATCAGTCTTCCCTTGTATATTTCTAACATACACATGAAGAGGGGTAAAAAAAGGCAGGATGGAAACCCCAGCCCGCCCAGCCCAGTGTTGCTGTCACATCTCTGCAGGGAGCAGGGTCCCCTCTAACAAAAGCTGTGTCCGCTCTGGCCGTGGCTCCCAAACGGGTGCTGCACCTCCCAGTGGGTGCTGGCCCAAACCTGTGATTTTGGAGCCCAAAACTCGCCGTGTTTGTGGCTCAGCTGCGGCACTTTGCGGGCAGCGACGGGAGCTCGCTCAGAGGAAGAGGGATGGGAACCCTCGGCCGGGAAAGCCCAGGGGAGGGCTCGGCGCTTGGGAGCAGCAGCCTCTGCCTTAAGTGCCTGTTTATTTAAAATAAACACCCTCTATAAATATACCTTTCCTCTAGCAACTTTTTCTGTGCCAGGTCCACGCGCGGAGCTGCAAACAGATTGGTTTGCAAAGAACGTTTATTTTCAGAAGCTTAAATAACATGTGATGCCAAAGAGCTTTGCTGGTTTTCCTCCTCCTTGCAATAATTGACCCGTGGTGGTTATTAATGAGAATTAAGCTCTCTGCCTCTCCCGCCGGGGAGCAGGGGCAGGGCTGCTGCGCGCCGGGATTTGATCGGAATTTCCTGAATCGCTTTTGCTGAAGCAGCAGTGAAAAAAAAAAAAAAAAAAAAGAAAATAAAGCTGCAGCCTGGAGAAGTAAGTCCAAAAAGTCCCCGAATTAAAAGAAAATTAAAGCAAATTAAGTAGAGGGAGGGGGGAGCCCCGGCGTGGGATTGTTCCTGATGCTACAAGTGCTTGGCAGGTTGTCGGAGGTCTCCAGTGACGGAGCAGCCTCGATTGCTCCTCTCCTGCCAAGTAAATGCCCACCCAGCTGGCACCTTGTGCTCCCCACGCTCTGCTCGGGGTGGAGGGGACGGGGACAGCTCTGCCGCTGGTGGCACGATGGAGCCCAGACCCTGTGGGGACACAGGGGGCCAGGGTGGGTGCTGGGAGAGGAGCCCTGCTCTGCCCACCCTGATGGAGCCGGCGGTGCCAGGGCTGTGCCAGGGCTGTGCCAGGGCTGTGCCATCCCCACTGCAGCAGCCGTGGGGGAGGCCACGGCTCGGGCAGGCGCAGGCAGGGACACGCATGACAGCCACCGTCAGCCACTGCCGCGGCACGGAGAGGGCCCTGCTGCCCTTATTGTTTTTCTGTCTTCGAGGTCGAGAAGAGGAACGCTTATTTTTATGAAGCATTATTTTACAAGGATTTGTTTAAGGGAAAAAGAATCCCATTTTAAGGGATTGCAGCTGTAAAAATACAGTTTCTGCTAAATAAAAGAGGAGAACAAACCCCTGAATCAGCTATTTATTTGTTTTCCTTACCTGGTATGACCTCTGTGCCTCCATCTCTAGCTCCCTCCCTTCCCAGCTCTTTTTTCTCCCACCTGGGCTTTATTCACCCCTGCTCCTCCCCTCGTTTGGGGGGTTTTCACAGCTCATTGCTCCAATGCACCCACACCAGAGAGCAGCACCCTGGGGTGGCTCAGCCCCTCACCGTGTCCCCCATGTCCTTCTGCAAGACCTTCAGCCCTTGGAGAGCCATGGGACATGGGGGAAGCCATCACCGGAGGGAAAGAAGAGGGGGGACAAGGTGATCCCTCTGCTTGAGCTCCGGATGCGACATCGAGTCCCCTGGCTCCATGCTGAGGTGGCCACTGGTCACCTGGTGTCACCAGACCCAGGTTTAGCTCCTACACATTCTCCCTTGATCAAGACAGGTCATTCCACCTGACCCCGCTCTCCCAAGGGGCTGCGGGGACAACACGGGGGTCTGGCCTGAGACCCCCAGGGACATGTCTCTGTCCCTCAAGGAAAAAGGGCCTCTGGGGCTTTGCCGTCCCCCGCGGCGGTGCCCGGCACCGGGGCAGGAGGCCTCACGTTACCCGGGCTCTCCAGGCGGTGATTTAATAAGAATAAAATGGAAACATCTGGAGTCTCATATGATGGATAAAGTGTGCACAACGTGTCTGCGAAGAGGCTCTTTCATGCCTGAAATCTCCTGTGTTATGAAATGATAATTAATCACAACGAGCAGCCGCCCGAAGTTCTTATCTCCCAGGGCAGGTTGCAATCGTTGGCGAGTCCATGGCACGGACGGGGCCACTGTGCCCCTGATGGCTCCAGCCAGGTGCCACCTGCCTGTCCTGGGGGGCCAGCAGCCTCTCCAGTCCAGCTGAGATCCCACCAGGAGTCACTTTTTTCCCACATGGAGTTGGGGAGACAATTGAGGGGGCTCCTGAGGGCAGACTCCTGCCCCAGCACTGGGGAACGGGGCTCACCCCACTCTGTCACCCAGGCCCCATGGCCAGCTGGGCCCCCATCCTTCGGGAGCATCACCAGCCCCTCGGGCACGGTCCGGAGCGTGGCCACAGCCGCTCCCTGCAGAAAAGCCAAGCCCAGCAGGAGACTTCATACCTGGGGAGGGTTCCAGGGGTCTGGGGACACGGTTCTGTCCCCCCCCCCGAGCAGGGATGGGGCTTGGGGGGCAGCGGGGGCCCGACCCGGGTGCAGGCGGTGCGGCGCGGGACGGCACAGCGAGCCCTGGCACGGCTTCAGAGCGCTGCCGGCGCGCTCGCTGTGCGAGTGTCTGCTCCCCTGGCAGCCGGTGAGCAGACGTGTTAAAAACCCCTGGCAGGCAATGAAAGCTCCGGGAAAAGGGAAAAAAATCTCACACTTTAAGCATGAGAAAGGAGACAAGAAATGTCACCTTGTTCTCACAGGAGCGCGGGGGCTCGGGCAGCTGGAGACCCTGGCTCCAGAAACAGGCTGTGGCTTGTGCTGGCTGGCCTGGGGACATCCCAGCGAGATCCTGGTGAGATCCCAGCGAGATCCCGGCCATTCCCAGCGGAATGGGGCTGCCATCACCCTGCACCATCCCCCTCAGCATCCGTGTCCACGCTCCCGGGCACAGCCCTGCTGGGACAGGGTGATTTTCCCTCAACCGACGCGTCCGTGCACTTTCCCCGCGCACACAACCGGGGGCTTGTTCCCTGAGCTGGAGCTGATTTATGGCCCCTGTTATTTATATATTAATTAGGGGCCTGGCAGGCAGGCACCGCGCCTGCTCCCTTCAAGGCTAATTATTTTTTAAGTCAATATATGTGATCCACGGGGGATCTGCGATTGCGGTTGAAGGTCAGTAAAATGGAGAACTTGTTTAAACCCGGCAATAAATGCACAATCCGTGCGGGGCGCGGCGTGCCGCTCGCTCGCCCTCGTCCCTGCTCTGTCCCCGCATCAAAACTGGGGCCACGCCAGCCCCCACGGGGACTGGGGCATGGGGACGAGCCAGGATGGGGTCTTTGATGTGCTTCAACCCAGGCTCACGGGCACGGCCCCGTCCGGGGAACACCGGGGAACGGGGGGCACGGGCTCCACCTCTGCAAACCCCCAGCAGAAGCTCACCCCGGATGTGCTTCAACCCAGGCTCACGGGCACGGCCCCGTCCGGGGAACACCGGGGAACGGGGGGCACGGGCTCCACCTCTGCAAACCCACAGCAGAAGCTCACCCCAGGGCCGTGGTGAGCCGGGTGGACGCTGCAAAGAGAAAGTCAGGAGCAAGCAGCCGGCGTGTGTGGGTGGGCTGGAGCAGCGCGGGTTTGGACGCCGCCGTGTCCCATCCAGCCGCTCCATCCTCCGGTCATTTACAATGAAAAATAAAGCAGGGAGGTTTTCCAAGCCCAACACGGGGCTGGAGTGGCTCCAGCGGGAGGTAGATGATTTGGTTTGCCGCTACACATGCTTTAAAAAATAATCATAATAAAAAAAAACGAGTCGAAAACGAGAAGCGAGCTATTGAAACGGAGAGTGAGCACGTTGTTTCCGAAGGCCCGGGCTGCGAAAGCCAAAGGCATCAGGCAGCAGCTCGGCCGAGCAGCACCGGAGCGCGCGGGGAGAGTCTTGGCACCGGCCGGTCCTTCAACGCATGACACCTCATCCCGGCCAAGAGCTGCCGTACGCGCCGCACGGACCCGGGGCCTCGCCCGCCCCACGGCCCAGGGAACAAGAAAACATTTTCCTTGACGAAAGAAAAATACTCCACCCCGTGTGTGCAGGCAGCCTCCTGCCACCCCTGCAGCGCCCGCCCCGGGCCCCTGCACAGAGCCGGCTGGGTACGGCACGGCATGGCACGGTATGGCACAGCACGGTGTGGCACAGCATAGTATGGCACAGTACGGCACAGCATGGCATGGTGTGGCACAGCATGGCATGGTATGGCCCAGTACAGCACAGCATGGTGTGGCACAGCACGGCATGGTATGGCCCAGTACGGCACGGTGTGGTGCAGCATGGCATGGTGTGACACAGCACGGCATGGTATGGCCCAGTACGGCACAGTATGGCACAGCATGGCATGGTGTGACACAGCACGGCATGGTATGGCACAGTATGGCACTGCACAGTGTGGCATGGCATGGCATGGCACAGTATGGCACGGCACAGTGTGGCACGGCATGGTATGGCACAGTATGGCATGACACGGTGTGGCACAGCATGGTATGGCACAGCATGGCATGGTGTGGCACAGTATGGCATGGTATGGCACAGTACAGCACAGCACAGTGTGGCATGGCATGGCACGGCACACTATGGCACGGCACGGTGTGGCATCACCCCCTGGCACAACCCCATGGTTCTTCAGGCCAACTTGCTGCAGGTGGTGGCTTCCTCCAT